GGACATAAAGCAGATATATGCACGAAATCAAATATATCTTGCCCAAATTGCTTGGAGCTTAATAATAAATTCAAGTTAAATTTAAAGATTGATCATTCTGCTTTTGACAAAGTAAATTGAACAGTAATGAGGAAGAAGCTTGAAACAGCAAGAAGCAACATAAATTACTCTATATAGCAATCAAAGGACAAGTCAGAAAATTCATCGAAGAGTCCAATCATTGCTCACAGTGAAGGCGTCACGAAAAATTGTAGTACGCTAAACGTAGCACATGTGAATATTCGATCACTTATTCCTAGCTTTGATATGTTTTCAGACGTTATACTAGAGCAGAGCCTTCATATTATAACACTAACAGAGACTTGGCTTACACATGATTTTCCTCCGGATTTAATTACTCTGCCAAATTACCAGCTGATTAGAAATGACAGAGAAGAAAGAGGAGGTGGAGTATGTTTTTACATCCAGACCAACATAAAATTTAAAGTCGTAAATTGTATCAACATTTCTTCAAATGGCATTGAACAAATGTGGTTATCGCTAAAACTAAATAATAAGACCATTGCGATAGGTGTTATCTATAGACCGCCATCTATTGCATTAAGTCTACTTTCTAGTCTTGAGAATAACCTTGCTTCTATATTCATTACCCATGATGAAGTTATACTGATGGGCGATGTGAATATTGACCTCACCGATAAGTCTTCCAATCCCAGTAAACAATTTTTTCAAACCATGGCATTATTCAATCTCGTTCAGGTTATTAATGAACCCACAAGAATAACCAAGAATTTAGCTACAATGATTGATGTAATTTTTGTATCAAATACATTGCATGTGCGCAAGAGTGGCACTATAGGCATGGGATATATAACTGATCACAGGTTATGCTTCTGTGAATTGAAGATTGAAATTCCAGAATACACTCCTACAACATTTTATTGTCGTGACTTTTCCCACTTTAATTATGATGAATTTGCTAAGGATGCAACTGCTGTGAACTGGCCTGATATAAATAATCTACAAAGTCTTGATGATAATGTCCTCCATCTTACTGAGAACATTACCTTGCTGTATGACATACATGCTTCGATGAAAAGAATTACACCTCATAAGTTCTACAGGCCATACGTCACCTATACAATGAAATGTATAATAAATTTAAAACGAAAAGCTTACAATAAATTTAAAAGAACTAGATCTGAAACAGATCGATTGTTTTATAATGATCTTAGAAATTACTCAGGTGTGGCTTTAAGGAATGAAAAAACAGCTTATATAAAATATCAACTAAATAAGAACAGGAATAATCCCAAGCAACTATGGAAAGACTTCGCTAAATGGAATATTCATCAAAAATCCACTAATCAGATATCTCAGGGCATTGAAGACGCAGAAGCCATCAACAATCACTTTGTGAACTCGTTGCCAACCATTCAACCTGATGAGTTATTTCTTAACGCTTTATCTGGGCAGAAAAAGTCACTTGTAACTAAAAGTTCGTTCCATCTAGTTACATCTGATGATATTGAAAAGAAACTGAGAGAAGTGAAATCAAATGCTGCTGGTATAGATGGTATTACCACAAGCATGCTGAAAAATGTATTTTCTTTTTGCAAAAGTGAAATAACGGATATCATAAATCAATCCCTGAACACAGGAGAAGTACCAACATTATGGAAGAAATCAGTTGTAACGCCACTAGCAAAAGTCAATAACGCTATACAGATGAAGGATTTGAGACCAGTAAGCACCTTACCTGTGATGTCCAAGCTTGCAGAGAAACTGGTAGCTGACCAACTTCGTGACCATCTAGAAGTAAATGAAGTCCTTCCCGATACACAGTCGGGATTCAGAAAACTACATAACACATCCACAGCGCTTATAAAAGTAACTAGCGATATAGTCAAGTTCATGGATGATGGTATGGTGACCGTATTGGTGATGTTAGATTACAGTAAGGCATTTGACATGGTCAACCATGAAGTATTATGTAAAAAGCTACAATATTATGGTTTGTCCAGTAATGCCTTACTGTGGTTCAACAACTACCTGACTGGCAGATCCCAATGCACAAAGATATTTAACAAAATTTCCACTTTACAAAATGTAGTTTCTGGTGTTCCGCAAGGAAGTGTATTAGGTCCATTACTATTTACATTCTATACATCTGATTTATTAAATTTTATATCACATGATTGGAATGTACATCTATATGCTGATGATGTACAAATGTATAAAGCTTGCAAGCCAAATGAAGTTAATTTATTGATTAAAGAGTTAAATGTAAATCTAGAAATGATTGCAAACTATTCCAAAAATTATTGTTTGAAACTGAATCCCACAAAAACTAAAGCTTGCTGCATTGGTTCTAGGTTAAATATTACAAAATTTAAAGGATTGATGAGTACATCCATTGTTTTAGGTGATACATCTGTTGAAATTGTAGAGGAGACTAAGAATTTAGGCATTTTGTTGGACACAAATTTAAGTTTTGAGAACCATGTCATTAATAAACTTCGAGTATGCTATTGTAAATACAAGTCACTTTGGAGATACAAACATGTTTTAACCAGCGATATAAAATTAAGGCTTACCAATGCACTAATCCTCACTCACCTAGACTATGGCGCTACAGTATATTATAATTTTCTGACGGAAGAAATGAAGCACAAAATTCAAGTATTACAAAACTGCTGCATGAGATTCTGTTTCAAAGATATACATATACAAGAACATATTACTGGACATTATGTGAGAGAAAATCTTTTAAAATTCAAGTATCGTGTATTACTTCAGTATGGAACTCTACTATATAAAGTTTTAAAATATAAATTACCCAGATATCTGTTTATTGCTTTGGAGAAGAGATGTTCACTCCGTAAAGTTTCCTTACGCAACAATGAATACTTCAATATTCCAGTTCATACAACATCTAAATTCAAAAAATGTTTTACTTACACGGCACCATATCTACTAAACGATCATTTAGAGCTTTTTGAAGCAGCTTCCATCCAAAACTTCAGAAATGAGATGGAAAAAGTGCTACTACAGCTGCAAAGATTTGAATCCACAAATTAAATTTATGACGCTTGCTACACTATCCTCCATTAACACTCAGACTATATCATATTATATACTGTGTTGTGCATAATATTTGTTGTGAATACTAATCATTCTGTTGATGTTAAAAAACGCTCATGAAGTTAACTTTTTAGGGGGAGGTGAAAAATGGCCCTGCCAATCCTCTTTCCTTTTGGAATGTTGTCGTTTTTATATTTTTATGTATAAACATTTCAATAAAAATTATTATTATTATTATTATTATTATTATTATTATTATTATTGTTTGTATCCTGAAGATGTCAAAGAAGAAAAAAGCACGGTTATCAATTATTCCGGAAATTATGGATATCTACCTAGTTGAATAAAATAAGAAGAGCACTCACCATCCCAAGATTATGGAACATTTATTTCTTATTTTCCCGAACTAAGAGCTCTTTCTTGGTATTTCATGATTGCATGAAGTGCTTTTTAATTATCGATGAATCGTGCGGAGTCTTTAGATGGAGCTAATTGAACTCTGAGTGTTTTTCACAAAAAGTTTTGTTTTTCGCCATCAACTTTCTGACACGGTGTATTTCGAAGGAAGTAGTCAAGGTTTTTTAATGGAGTTTGAACAGTACCAAGTTCCCTTTTTAGCGGCTGTGTATACACTTATATGGGGTATATCCTGGCATATACTGCGCAACTTCAAGAATTTTTCATTCACAGCGTAACGTCCCCAAACATGTTCACACCAACTTTAAAAAAATCACAACAAAATATCAAAAATCAATTTCTGCATGATTCATCAAGCTATCTTGACAACTATGGATGCCAAAAATCACATAGCGTTTGCGTGTCAGGTGCTAAAACGGACACATAAATGACTTGCTTAACTCCAGTACGCTACAACAATTACGACTGCCAGAAAAAAAAATTAAACTTATGCTTAATTTCTTAGACGTCTTTTTTTCTTCGCGGTGTATTTACTATTATATATATTATCTATACAATACCATAGAACAAAGTATCACTGACACAACCCCATGAAAAAAATAAAGGTCAAGATCCGTCAAAGAGACCAAGATATTCCTATGTATTTTAAGACTCCAAATCCGGCATTAGAAATGTTCCTAGATGTCTACAATTTACCGCCGGCCAAAAAAACGACTGCTAGGAGACGTGAAAATTGAGCTTAGGATGCCAGACGCTGGAGTATGTGTAATCGAAAAGGTCGCTACACCCCTAGAGTTCGCCTTGAGCCCAGAAACTACCCCCAGGAGGGGAGACAGTAGAATTTCGGATGCTGGTGCATGGTATTCGTATGTATTTTCGACGATGAATCCGAATTCGGGGTCAACCAAATTTTGCACCCATAAAATTCGCCCTTCGGTCTCATAAAATGCCACTAAATAGAGGTAAAAAATTTAGTTCTGGATGCCGGATGTATATCGTTGTCTGTCTCATGAATTTATTTATTTATTTACCTATTTATTTACTCATGTTGGGGGTGCAACAGAATGTGAATTCCAAAGACAACACCCGCTGCTTACTATAGTGATAAAATAAAAAGATACATAGATTACAAAATCCAGAAGATATGAAAATCTATAACACAAGCCTACTATATGAGAATAAACAATACTATGATATAGCAACTACTATAAAACGATATAAATTTAAAATTTAATTTTTTTAAAAATTATCATGTATCAGTTACACTATTCCATGAATCGCACTAGTCACCAAAAAAACACAAACACAGAGCACGTTACTAGACGTACAAATACTGTATAAAAGTATATAAAAGTATTAATGGTTGACAACAGTATGACAGCAAACAAACAATTAGATAGTATGATACTATCCTATGTAAGCTACCTCCTTACCATTGCTTTAAACTTGTTAAAATTAACCACAAAAATGTCAAAATTTATAGAGGTATCGTTAAATACCCTCTGGGCCCTAATTACAGGTGAGTTTACTCCTAAAGGGAATCCTGAAAAACTTGGAATGGCGGTAGTTTCTATCTGGCACATTAATATTTATTTTTGAAAGCAAATAGGGACAGTCAAAATTGTTGAATATTTTGTGTATAACACACGTCGGACATCATTCTTCTACTTTTTAAGGTCATGATATTGAAATGTTGTCTAATATGATCATAGTTTCCGTCACGTACCACCGGATTGCCGATTTTAAAACTTAATCTCTTCAGGAATCTATTTTGTACACTTTCAATTCGATTTATGTATGTAATATACTGAGGGTTCCATATAACGGAAGCAAAAGTTCAACTTGTTATAAATATATGCATAATATAGGGATGTCATGGTTCTTGCACTCTTGAAATCCCTGCAGATTCTACAGATAAATCCCAACATTTTGTTTGATTCGCAAATCAAGTTTTCTATGTGTGGTTGGAAAGTCATTTTTGCATCTAGGAGGACTCCTAGGTCCTTCACTATATCCGTTTCCTTCAAAGGTGTATTTTTGATTTGGTACCGGTATTCTATGAGAGATTTGTTCTGGGAGAGTCTAATAAAAGTACATTTATCAGCATTTTGGAAACAAATCATTATTGTCACAAAAATTGACAAAAGTATCTATGTCACTTTGGATTTCTTTACAGTCATTAATGTCTCTCACTGTATGGAATATTTTCAAGTCAGCGGCGTATAATAGACAATTTGCATATTTAAAGGATTTCTTTAAGTTGTTGATAAAAATTATAAATAATAAAGGACGCCAGACGTAACCGTAACTGGCAGCGACTTGAAATTCGACCTTCATTGAAATCATTATTTTCCCAGATATAATACATGCGAGCAAAAATACTAGCAAAAATCAGCATTAAATTTTATTTTTTTTAACCAACGTATTATTTTCCCTTGTAGAACTGGCGCTTATGAATATACAATGCATGGTATTCTGAAAAAACAATATAAACCTGATATGCTATTATTATTTTTGGTATGTCTTCATGATTCGCTCACCTATTGTGTCATTAATTTATTCAGACGACCAATTCATAGAATTCGGGTCATGTTTCTTAGATGTATTTCCTCTATTGCTAAAATATACCAACTTGGTATAGAAACTTCAGAGGAGCTGTGCACTCAATAAATGTGTATTGAGCTGCTACTTCCTGAGCACCTGCCATGAAAAATGTTCCGACGCTTATTGAATTCACCTCACTGCGAATACGTGGGTGACTTCAAGCAATGCACTGTATATCAATTCCATGCTTCATGGACGGACATCAACACGATACTCCTCGGCATTTTCTGGTATACTTATTAATAAAATAGCGTCAAGTACATTGCCCTTCTTACGCAACACCGCCATTAGTTCATAAAGGATTAAATCCAGCGTAATTTAAATCCTCGGAGAAAAAAGTCAATTACGAGCATGTACAACAGAGAAATTAAACGGATTAAGACAGCCAAGCAGGTCAATACAGTGTACTAACATCAAACACTTTTCATATAGCCTCCCCCACTCCCTAAAAGCCCCACCCCCTGTACTTCAACCGCTACATTTCTATGGAAATGATCAGGAGCCTCTGAAAACATCTAAAAAAGGAATTTGAGCGGTTTTTTCTCTTTGACACTTTTCTCCGCCGCCACTGAACCGATTTTCAGAAACTACAAACAAGCCTTTTCATTCTTGCGGATCATAAGCAGTGCCTTAAATATGCACAGATACGTACCATCATGGTGCAAATCTCGTTTTCGCTTCATTTGAATGATGTTTTATCTATTTGACTGTTATACAGGGAGTTAAGGAAATAATATCCGTAACTCTAAGAGGTCATTCCTTGCATTATTATAAGTAAGAAAGTTCATTATAGTCTATGTCCAAAAATCAACCGTTTCGGAGCAAAAAAATGCTAAACGTATTTCTTTTTTAGTCATGAAATAAATTAAGTTTGCACCTTAATAATTTAAACTCATGTGCCTAATATAGTAAAATGTATCAATATATCTATTTATTAATTAACTGTCTCTAACAAAACAAAATAATTTTATTGCTTATTAAAAACAATCTTCCGAAGAAAAACAGACAAACAAAATTCCTCACACAATTGGCGACGACGTACTTCGCCTGCACTTCATGTATCATCGCGGGTTATTGTGATTACTGATACATTTAAATGTAACTTTCTACGATTTACGGATGTTGTTTTTTTTTCTTTTTTCGTGCATCGCATCGCTTCAAATAAGTGACTGATAATGGTGGGAATTGATTGTGTATATGGCCACGTACCGGTAAGTTCTGTCATTTTTTTAAGTAAATGTACTGAACTGAAAGCGTTATTAAATAAAAATTATTAGCCACACAAAATTGCGTAAAAGTATTCAATAGTTCAAGACATATTTTCAACAAAAGTATCATACAAACGTAAACAATTCGATGAATCGGTTGCGGTCGTCGTGCGCTCGTAGCGCGGTTGCGTAGCAGCGTTGCCAAATGTTTAAGAAAATTTAATTATTCACGACTCACTTTACTCGAAAACTATTGATTTTCGGACATAAGTTATGATGAACTTTTTTGCTTAGAATAATGCAAGGAATCACCTCTTAAAGTTACGAATAGTATTTCGCTAACCTCAAGCAGACTTCACGGTAACCTACAGCAATTTAGACTTAGTACTATATCTCTGCTATTTGTAACATTTTCACAAATAAGTACTTTCAATATTTTCACAAGTAATTACCTTCAGAGTACAAATTATGTAATTGAACCTATTCAGTTATAATCCAACGTGATCTTGGGTAAATTATTCCTAGTGAAGTAATATTAAACTTGAAAACACCCTCTATAAAAACTAATGGTCACTTTGTCACAGCAGAAGAAGTACTTTTAAGCCACCCATTAAATGCTTTAACGTTAGCAGAAGAGCCTCGATAAAATGGAGCTGTACAAAACAGACCATTCCGAATGTCTAGCTGAATTGAACTTTAATTCTATATCGGAAAAACATTATAGCTTTACATTAAGTGAAAAGTAGTCTCAATTCTACACAATGATCGTGAAAGGAAAACAGGGGGAGAAAAGTGCTTTTATATGTTCCCGTTACTTCAGTTTTCAGAGTTTTCAAGTGTCTCTCCAGCTGAATGGAACGCTGCTATATTTATAGGATTGTTCTACCGACAACAACAATATGAATTGATACTTGGCATTCGCTGTGATCAGGCAAGAACTTCAAAACAACCATATAGCAGAATCGAAAACGGATGAGCAAAAGTATCATGATTTCCTATGAAAAACATATAAACAGTTTGCTCTTATTCGGCCCATACCAGAAAATTATTGAAGAGCAGTCCGAATAACTATGCTCTCCTGTTTGTAATCAGCAAAGTAATAGGGGATTTCTTAAACATCACGTTTGCTTCCGCTAGCTTAATTGCTGATAATATGATTTCCAGTATAGAAGATGGACTAATAATCTGTTTAGCTAACGTAATACGTTTTATGGATTTTTTCATATCAAAGCAGCCGCCCAGGCAGAAGGCTAAATGTCAGGGCAGGGACCTTAAAAAAACTTTGTTAATCCAATTTTTGGGCAGCCCAAGGCTAAGAGAACAGGAAAATCCTCCTCACGTAGATCCACAATCTCGATACTCCAGAGAAAAAGCACCAGTTTTGGATGTTCGAAATCCGACACTGTTAGGATATTGGACCGAAGTCATACCCATAATTGCTCAATCTTTCTGTATGTACGTCTTTGTCTCACGATTTGTAATGGTCAAGTTTTAGTAGAAGACTGTAAAACGATCATTTTGTGGTACGAAGGAAGTCAATTATATATACTGCTAGTGTGCTGAAAATTATAATATATATTATTATAAATATCGGGTTTGTCAAGTGTATTGAAAAATATATTTAAATTCCTTCATAGGAGTAATAGAAAGCAGAAAATATAGATACTTGCTCTTCAGCAAAAAGATGAAACCGTTTTCCTTGTTTGTCACTGTAGTCGCCCAGATTATCCGGGACTCTGTGTAAATACAATTTTATTCTACGTATATTAGCTCCCAACCTTTTAAAATTTTGAGCACTTTAGCAAATACTTCTCGATAATACGGTCCTTTATGATTCCCCATAACATGTTTGAACAAAAGCATAGTCATGTCTTAAATTCAATTTGTGTCATATCGTCATGAGTGTATTGATTTGCGGTCCATTGAAGATGCCTGCTTTAATTTCGCCATACTCAGGGCTGGAAACATTTTTTAAAGAGTTTTTGTTTTAATCAAGGCCATTAATGAACTATTTCGTTAGCCCAAGCTTGATGTGAAGTGGTGGAAGGATATTTTCTCGGCTTATCATTGGTTCATGAACCACATTTGCTTTTCCCTCTTCCATATTTTCTCTCCTAAGGTAGAACTTTCTAATGTTGTATTCTTTTCTTGCGCGACAAGGGTATTATCTACCACCCTTGCTCGCCTGTTAAAAATTCACATTTGGAAGTCACATATCCTGCGTACGAAACACATTCTAAACAATTTCAATATTTTGGTTTTCTTCATTTAGTTCAGTAGTATGACTAATGAGATTAAATGTAGTTTTGAAAACGAATTCTTACATCATATGTGATAAAAAGAGTGATTTTGGCATCTTTGTTGCAAGGTTTGCGTTCTAAAGTAGGATGTCCCGCTCAACGTAATGTAGCTTTGTTTCCTAACTAAAGCAGTGATTTATTCACTTACTGTGATACGAGAGAGCTACCTGGTGGTTACAGGTATGTTGAGAAAATATCTTTTGTGTTAACACTTGATCAAAAGGGCAATTTTCAAGATACTAGAGCCTTTGAAATAGACGAGAATACAAACAAACCTGTATTTATTAGTTAAATTGTTTTCCCGCTTTGGATATACAGGGTGTAAACGTTATGATAGTCATTATTTAAAGAGGTGATAGACGGGGTTAAAAGAAGCAAAAAGTTTCATATAACATGGGGGTCAAAACGGCATTTTTTTAGAGAAAAGCTACTGTAAAGTAAAATAAAATCTGACAACGCCGCAATGCCAGA